CCTTAGACTGTTCCTTTGTCTCAGGATCATAACAGTAAGTGCAAAGTTAAAACTAGTGCACTAGCTGCATCCATTCCTGGACAGGCCTCATCTGGGCACAGTGACACATGACTTACTTACATCCTGGTTGGATTACTGTAACATGCTCTACATGGGACTGCCTTTGGAACGTGCCAGGGAATATCAAATCTGCTGCAGCCAGATTGTTAACAGACTGGTTACAGTGATCGCATAGTCCTGATGTTACAGGAGCTCCCCTGGAGCTGTTTCTGGGCATGATTCAAAGTGCTGGTTTTAACCTTTAAAGCTCTAAACAGCTTGGTCCAAGCTATCTCAAGGACTGCATCTGTTTTTATGAGCCTGCTCAGGTGTTAAGATAATCGGGGAAACCTTCCTCTTAGTCTCACCACCTTCACAAGTGTATTTGGTGAGGACAGAGCGGGCTTTCTCTGCAGCTGCTCCAAGACTCCAGAACTCCCTCCCTTTGGAGGCCAGGCTGGCCCCATCTTTATTGTCCCTCAGCAAGCAAACAAAGTCCTTTCTCTTCAAGCAAGCTTTCCTTGTCTGAGAGGATTTTAAGTGAACTGTAGTGCCTTGTTGCTTTCAAATGTGTTTTTAAAATTAATTTTAGCTACCTTTTTAATATATTTGTTTAGCTCTATTAAAATATTTGTATGCTTACTGTTTTTTAAAAATGTTGTCTTTTAATGATGTAAGCCACCATGGGTACTTTTGAAGGAAAAGGCGAGGCTAAACTGTTTAAAATGAATGAATGAATGAATGAATGAATGAATGAATGAATGAATGAATGAATGAATGAATGAATGAATAATCCGCAACATAAGTATAAAGAACACCATTAAAGCCATGTTTCTCAAAATATAAGGCAGGGATCCAAAATGTGAAAATGGTGCTGCAGAAGGCACTACCTACTCCAGAAAGTATAAACAAGAACTGGGAAAAATTTTGGATTTATTTTTGGATATTGATGTTATTTTAATCTGTTTATTTCATTTAATGTACGCCGCCCAGAGTAGTCGAATAGATGGATGGATGGATGGATGGATGGATGGATGGATGGATGGATGGACGGATATTCCAATCCCATTTTTTAAAAATTCCAATGCACCCATCATTAAAAAATCTTTCAGAATTGCAAGTGTCTTCTACATATGTTCAACTAACCTAAAAATAGGTATCTTCATTTCAGCCATACTTCAACCCACTTGCTTTGTCAAAATATGGTGAACTTCCCCACTTTTTGAAATGCAGCATTACTAAATGGCTCCTGATGTAAATACAATCTTCAAGCACTGAGGGGGAAAATCATTCTTTTGCTCTAATTCATCATCCCTAGCACAGAAACTGTTTCAAATGTAGAACACTGCTGAGTAGAGGGCAGATGAAAATTAGAAAGCTATTGCTCCACCACAACCCTGGGGCAGCTTTCAGAAGAGTACATTCCCATCAATGTACAGTGGACCCTCGACTTACGCGCGGTTCCACTTATGTACTTTTCGACGTACAGACTTCTCCTGCTGCAAAATTTCCCATCGACTGGTGGCCGGAGAATCGACATACGGAACAGAAAGGGGAGGCGGGGAAAGCACCAAATTCAAATTTGGCACTTTCCCCGTCTCCCCCTTCTAGTCCGTAGGCCGCCGATCGTGCCTCCGGATGCCTCCGAAGCACGACTGGCGGCGGCAGGGACCTCAGACATGCCTCCCATGGCTGCGGAGAAGCCCTGGAAGGCATCCGGAGGTCCACCTCGCCACCAATCGTGCTTCAGCGGCGTGCTCCAGAGGTCCCCCTCGCCACACGATCAGTGGTGAGGGGGACCTCCGGAGGCCTTCCAGGGCTTCTCTGCTGCCGTGGGAGGCATCTAGGAGGTCCCCCGCCACCGCTGATTGTGTCTCCGAAGTTCCCCTGGTAGGCCCGGTCTACCAGGCTTTCTCGGGGAGTAGACCAGGCCTACCGGGGGAAGCCCTCCCCTGGTAGGCCTGGTCCACCCCGGGGAAGTCTGCATCGGTGGCAGCGAGGGACCTCCGAGAGGCCTCCGGCAGCGGCAGGAAAGCCCTCGGAGACCTCGGGCAGAGGCAATGGCATTGGCGGGGGACCCCTGGAAGGCTTTGAACAGATAAAGTCTATTTATTTCAATTTTTTTGTGTGTAGGGGGGTATTTTTTTCTTGGGCCGGATACGGATTAAAGGGTTTTCAATGCATTCCTATGGGAAACGGACCCTGAACCTATGGACTTTTTGACCTGCGGCCACCGTTCCAATATGGATTAATTCTGTAAGTCGAGGGTCCACTGTAG